AAGGAGTAACTTATAAGTCGGTACAAATCTGGGCGGTTCTCGGGTCACCCTAGTTTTTTTATGTGCAGACTCAGCATAAGACGCCTTTAGGGCCGAGCCTGGATCTTCGCATGGTGAGCTGTGCACTTTCTGCTAGTGTCAGCATTTTTGTATGACAAGCGGCCGGCTTGCCGGCCACGTTTAGCCAGGGTACAGCTTATCATTTATCAGTATCAGTTCTCATTTGTCATTCACTGAATAAAGAGCTTGTGCTCCATTTTATTTAACTTCGGCAAACCGCCATTAACTTCTTATCACTTCAAACTGTCTGAGTCTCTAGGCCAGCAGGTTAAGAAGGGCAGTAACCCTTCCATCCTAAACTACCTAAATCAACATTTGGGGATCACCGGCCAACCGGCCACCAACACCAATTGGAATATCGTCGATTAGACATCACGTCATCACTGACAGCCACCGGCCACCAACACCAATTGGAATATCGTCGATTAGACACCACGTCATCACTGACAGCGGCGAGGGCAGACTACAACTACAATCCTTAATTGGCACCCAACTTATAGAATGCACGACCCAAAATACTAGACAAAAAATATGTAAGTGGTCTGATCTTATTAATGCAGCTTCATATTAAAAAAAAAATAAAGAAAAAGCAACAAACACATACACAGTGAAAGAAATAAATAGAACGTTATATAAACGGACGAAAGTTTTGTATTCAAATATTCCTACTTGTATAGCAAGTGTGATTTGTTTTTGTGAATTAAAAATATTTGCTCTACCGCCTTCGGGTAATAAAAAATTTTGTTTGGTTATATTGGACACCAACCACCCGGCTATTAATATTAAATACATATATTAATATAAAAAAAAATAATAAATATATATAATCCCAAACCCAAATTAATTTCAGCCGAGTCAAATATTCGGCCATATAGTATAAGTGTCTAATGTTGACCATAGAGTAGCCTTATGAGCTTTCAGGGTCCATATAGAGAGGTTAAACGCGAAATTGAAAGTGAAAGTGACGAAGAGTGGGACCAAGTGCCCCAAGGGTATCAACCACCACAGGTACAGGAAGAAGGCATAGAAATTATGAACGCAGCCAGCATAGAAGCTTTGGTTCAGGCCGCATTGGCTCAACAGAAACAAAGGCTTAGAGCCGAGTTTCAAAATCAAATTAGTCCAGTTAACCAACAGCTACAGAGTCTGCGCGTAGAGGCGCCAGAAGTTGAAACATATCAATGAATAGCAGTAAATCCAGTACCAGTGCCGTGCGACATACCATTACACATAGTAAAGTCGATTCCAGACTTTACCGGGATACAGGATGAATACGTGGCGTGGAGGCAGTCCGCCACAGACGCCTATGAGTTATTTAAACCATATAATGGCAGTAGCGCGCATTACCAGGCCGTTACAATTATAAGAAATAAGATTAGGGGACCAGCACGAGCGCTGCTGGTATCGTACAATACAGTGCTTAATTTTGATGCCATTTTGGCTAGATTAGACTGCTCTTACGCAGATAAAACGTCCTTGCGCCTTTTACGGCAAGGGCTTGAGTCGGTCCGTCAAGGGGATCAAACTCTGACAAACAAAATCATCATGACACATGACATAGAAAGAGCCACACTGCTCAATACTGAGGTCAGGGGTGACGCCCTGCATGTATTTACTTCGGGTCTAAAGAAGCCCTTAAGGGCGGTCGTATTTCCAGCATTGCCCAGAGATCTGCCAGCAGCACTGGCACTAGCTAGGGAGGAAGAGGCCAGTATTGAACGATGTACATTCGCGGCCACATATGCCAAGGATGTCGAGCAGAGAAATCAGAATACTGACTTCCACAAGGGCCAACAGCGAGTGCCCGAGAAACAAGGGAAATATTTAGGGAACGATCGCGGCCGGGAAAAAATCCCCATTTTTTAAAGAAACAAAATAAAAATCAAAATAATGATTATTAACGCAGACAGGACAACTGGACGGATCGGGGTAAACCAAAGCAGGCCCCAGAGCCCATGGATGTAGATCCATCATTTTCTAAGCTTAGACATCCGTCGAATTTTAAACCATCCCAGGGGAATAATACACAATCTCCCACTCCTTAAAACCCAAAAGGACGAAACCTTTCGGAAAGAATGACTGGTCAGAGGCGCCAACGGATAAACAACGTTGAGCAAGCTGCTGAGGAAGAAAATAATTATGAAGGCGCGGCCGCAGCCGCACTGAATGCAATTGAGCAGGACAACGACTCACTTGACTCTGACGATCTTCTCAATTTTTTAGCGGAAGGTCCCGCTTACTGTTCATTGAGCGAAGGTTGACGGGGAGAACTATGAAAATTTTAATAGATACTGGGGCGGCAAAGAATTATGTGAAGCCTGTAAAGGAGCTAAAACAATGCCTTTCAACTTCCCATTCACTGTGAGTACCATACATGGCTGATGCCATAATAGGTTTCGATCTGCTAACGCAGGCGGGAGCGGCATTAGACTTACGTAGCAGCGAAATTAGGTACGGAAACGTAACCGAACAGCTTAAATTCTTCGACTGCCCTAACGTGAACTTCACAAATGTCCATGAAATAGTAGTCCCAAACTCAGTGAAAGCTGACTTATGAAAAATGATCCTTAAGAGGAGTAAGGTGTTTTCGAGCTCTAACGAGGCGCTTCCATTTAACACCGCGGTCGTTGCCAGGATTCGTACGGCAAGTAACGAACCCGTTTATTCTAAACTATACCCGTACCCCATGGGATACAGATACAAACAGCTGATAAAAGACGGTGTTATTCGCCAGCCCAGCATGGGTTGTTGACAAAAAAGGCTCCGAGGCCGATGGCACCAAAAAAAACGACTGGTGATCGATTTCAGGAAACTGATTGAACGGACTATTGCCGATCGTTACCCTATGCCAAGTATCCCTATGATTCTAGCAAACTTAGGGAAGGCAACATTTTTCACTACCCTAGACCTAAAGTTGGGGTACCACCAGATTTACTTGGCCGAATGTGACCGTGAAAAAACCTCTTTCTCGATAAACGGAGGAAAATATGAGTTCTGCCGTCTGCCCTTTGGGATAAAAAATGCAGGATGCATTTTCCAAAGGGCAATCGACGACGTGCTACGCGAGCAGATCTGGAAAATCTGTTACGTTTATGTAGATGACGTGATAATTTTTTCCGAAAACGCTGCCGACCATGTAAGGCACATGGAATTTTTAGGCTTTATAGTCACAGCAGACGGAGCCAAAACAGATCCTGAAAAGGTAAAAACAATACAGGAATACACTGAACCAAAAAACTTGTTCAGCCTTAGATCTTTTCTAGGATTGGCCAGATATTACCGAAGTTTTGTCAAAGAAACGCTTCTATAGCAAGGCCACTCACGTCCATACTGAAGGTAGAGAATGGATCGGTAAGCAAACATACGTCGAATAAAGTTGCAATCGAATTTGATGAGAGCCAACGCAGCGCTTTTGAGCACCTGCGGAACATTTTATCATCTGAAGAGGTCATATTAAGGTATCCAGATTTCAAACTGCCCTTTGACTTGACTACAGATGCTTCTGCAAGTGTTATCGGTGCCGTTTTGTCCCAAAATGGACGGCCAATCACGATGATATCTCGCACATTAAAAGACTGCGAGCTCAACTACGCTACAAACGAAAGGGAATTGTTAGCCATTGTTTGGGCTATAGGGAAATTACAAAATTACCTATATGGCTCCAAAGAAATTCCAATTTTCACAGATCATCAACCTCTCACGTTCGCTGTTTCTGAGCGAAATACTAATGCCAAAATTAAACGATGAAAGGCATTCACTGAAGAACACAACGCAAAGGTATTCTATAAGCCAGGAAAGGAAAATTTTGTGGCCGATGCCTTGTCCCGACAAAAAATTAACTCAATGCAAAATGAACCCCAATCCGATGTTGCCACTGTGCACAGCGAAGTCTCCTTGACCTACACGGTCGAATCCAAGGATAAACCATTGAACTGCTGCAGGAATCAAATAATTCTGGAAGAAACAAGCCAGCCTTCATGGCGAAATTTTATAATTTTCGGGAGCAAAACCCGCTACATAATACATTTCAATAACAAAGACTCACTGCTCGAGTTGGTTAAAGAGGTCGTTAACGTGAATGTTGTGAACGCCATTCACTGTGACCTCCATACATTAGCCTGCATCCAGCATGCCCTAGTGCTGGAATTCCCGGCAACTAAGTTCTGGCACTGTAAAAGATTCGTGAATGATATCACATATGCAAATGAGCAGTCTGAAATTATAACTTGCGAACACAACCAGTCCTTCAGGACTACTATTTTCCAAAAATGACTAAGCTCGCTAATGAGGTAGTCATTAATGGCGAAACATGCACTAGGGCGAAATACGACAGACACCCCAAGAAGCAGGAGTTGGGGGTCACACCAATCCCTTCATATGCGGGCGAAATGCTGCATATCGACCTATACTCCACAAATAAAAAGTTATTTTAACCTGTGTCGACAAATTCTCAAAGTTCGCGGTAGTGCAACCACTACCTTCTAGGGCCATAGTAGACCTATCATACAACTTGTAAATTTTTTTCCTAAAACCAAGACCATATATTGCGACAATGAGGCATCATTCAACTCGGAGACCATAAATTCATTGTTGAAAAATCAGAATAGCATAGACATCGTTAACGCACCTCCTTTACAAAGTAGCTCCAATGGGCAAGTAGATCGATTTCACAGCACCCTAACGGAGATAGTAAGGTGTATTAAAATTGACAAACAAATTAGTGACACCGTCGAACTCGTCATGAGAGCCACGGTAGAGTACAACAAAACGCTACACTCAGTCACGAATTTGTAACCAAAAGATGCTATGCACTCAGCCAGCGATGAACAAAGGTTGGCAATAAGACGACAAATCGAAAAAGCTCAACCAGCTAATCTAAATAGGTTCAACCCAACAAGACAAAATCAAAATAGATCAACGTTATAAAAAAAATTTCATACTCATCTTATCGGCAATTTTTTGTTCCATCCTTTTCAAGGATTCCGCTGTTGTTTCCCCTGTTGTATTATCAATTAGATCGCACGTGTGATCCATTTTGTAGCTCTGTAAATGAAATCCAATTAATTTTTGTGTTTTCTAATTCATAAATAAAGCCATCGGCAACGTTCTCAATAGTTACGATTATTAAAACAGTTCAATAATATCAGGTGCAGGTAAGCAAAGGACAGTGTATTAGGTGTATATTGTTTTTCAGTAAGGAACTTACTTAAGAAGTGCAGGTAGACAAAGGGTCGAAGAGAACCCTAACCGCAAGGCGCAAAGGAGGAGGAATTAGCTCGGTCTAGAAATTCTGCAAATCCACCAAAGGTAGAAAGTGAATACAACATAAATTTTGAAGTTGAAGACGAGGATTTTAGTTGTGAAACCCCAGACTTGCAATTACCAGGTATTACCCAAAAAACAAAAGACAATATTTGCTGCCTTAACTCCGGTAGTGCAATTAAAATTTTAGGATTTGAAATTAGAGGTGATACCTGCTATATTAATGGTCACCAACTCTCAAACAAACAAGATTTTTCACTGCGCCAATTCGCAAGTAGGGATTTTTTCGGTTGATTTCACCATTGATGAAGCTATTGAATCTTATTCAGTTAAAAATTTTTTGTTTTAAATATCTGCACCTGCCGTATGATGATAATGAACTAGTTTTAATACCTTTAATACACTCATTGTTAGATTAACCATTGTTATTTTGTATTAAACTAATCCGACGCCAAGCCAAAATGTTTGTAAAAAAACCAATTTACATATATGTACATATGTACTTACATAAACAAAAACAACGGACACACTCGCTACTGTGGCAGGCTCCGCCGGTAACACAAATCTAGTTTTATTTACATATATATAGATCTTATTATACTGTCATGTGTTGGAAAAAACTACAAACAAGAGTTTTGTTATAAAACACATTAAAAACAGTTAAAAACTTACTTTGTTTTTGGTCCGTCCACCGTACACTTCAACGCATCACGGCAAACTCAAGGGGTGGAGATGAATGGCATGTGCATTCGATGGCATTGTTGCGTCCCTGAGTTGCAATCTAGTGTTTCCTTTTTTATTTTTATAAACTTAAATTTGTTATAAATTACTTTTCTTAAACCTTGTGGGAGTCAGTATATTCGGCTAAGTTGGCATTTCTAATTAGGACATTACCCATGGTAATTAACATAAATAGTCCAGATGCAACCCTTCAGTTTAGCAAGGTCCGATCCTCGCCAGAATTCGAAAAATACCATTTTGATGGATTCATCCACTACTTTCACTCTAGACGCCATGTTTTCCTCCTCTTTGTCGCAACCTTCTCCCGAGATTGGTTCGTTCCCTGCGTAAAGTGTTAAAACAAGTTTTTAATTTAATTTGCGATTCCTATTTAGCCATTATTCAGATATACACCTAAATTAAACTATTATACAGCGCACATCGATCGTCATCAGGCCTGCTGACTCCATTGGAGAGTAAATCATTTACATTCCTACATATGTATAAGTATTCGTTCTTGTCTGAGCCCGCACACTTATGGTACAAATATATACATGTACATTTTCCCACATTCGTGAATTGATAAATATTAAATAAGAATCGTTGGCCCTTATATAATTTAATATATAATTAATTTAATAATAAGCTTACCGCATATCGATAAAATATGTAATCAGTTTCGTAATAATTTAACGTAAACTAAATATCCATTTTTTTCCTATGTGATAATTTTATACTGACACACGATCATATAGAGACTTGTTTGGCGTAAATAACGCTTAGTTTCAATGTTTTAGTGTTAGGATTTGTAGTATTAAGAACCATGAACCATATTATCGTATTTGCCGTATTAAGTTAAATTTAAGATGAATTAATTTGTGATCTTTTGAGGGCACCTTAGAGGATGTAGCGCAGCGGTTGTTTTAAGGGTGGAGTCTAATGAGACTTCACAGGTAGGGTAGGTATAGAAGGTGCTTAATAACATCTGGGCCTCCGTCTTCGATAAGTACAGTCTCTCGTCCGAATCTTAGCCGTTGGGTTAAAGTCCTTATCGTTACCGTCTCTCTGTCTTCTATTGTTAGTTCTGCGACACTCTTGTTTTATCTTAACACAAACCCACACCCATATCCCAGGCCGGTCAAAGCGTAGACAAAGGTGTTAGGGTGGACAATGCTCATAGAGTGTGTTCGTTACAACCTACAACTAAATCTCTACCAATTTTTAATCACTTTTTTTTTTAATTTCGATTGCGATATATGTATATTATCGATATCGAAATTTTTTAAAATATTTTTTTTACTTACTTTTTGCATTAAAATATATGTATTTATATGCTTTTAAAGGTCATAGTACGTTACACACAATTATTTATTTTAATCATTATTATTTGGACAATTTAGAGTTACAATCTGCTAATGTTTTTATATTTTGATATATTTAAGAATAATTTGTTGTCTTTTAAACATGAGCATTTTAATGGCATAAATTGCTCTGGCCATCCATCTGGCTTTATGAAGACCTCTATCCCCTGAAAAATTGAGAACGGAAGAAACCGAGATTAGTTCTTCTCGGTTTTAGTATTGTTTCTTCCCACATTTTTCTTCTCGGTTTCATGTATTTAGTATTTAGTATTCCGAACTAAAATCAATCTCGGTTCTGTGGTTGTGGACGAGGGACGTGAGGGGAAGACGCAGAAAAAATGAGAGAGGAGAGAGACCAAACTCCTCTCTTGAAATTGCCGCAATTTGTGTTGGTGCGTTAGTTTATCTTTGATTTTAATTCGAGCACGTTTTTCTTAACAATACGAAATCGGTAATGTGTTGTAATAACTGTTTTGCATACAAGTTATCCAACCAGTGAAAGGTTCCACTTATGGAATTAATACAAAAATTTTTGATTTTAATCTCAGCTATGTTGCCCTTGCCTTCAGCGACATTGCATTTGCCTTAATTTAAGTTTCTGCCTTTGCCTTTTCCATTAAATTCCAATAAAATAAAATTTAAAAATAAAAATTTGTTTTTAAATCAACGACAACGAATAAAATTTATTTGTATGAAATGTAAGAGAAAACAGAGAAAGAAAACCACTAATGGAAACAATATTAAATCAAAATTTCGGTAACAATGAAAAGCAAGGGCTAATTTCGCCGGATTTTCGGAAAGGCAAGATAACAGGATATCGAAATAAACAGACGCAATGAAGACATAAGGAACGCAAACGAAACCCTTACATATGGTCAGAGTGATTGCGTATGCAATCAATTAAATCATTAATGTAATCGAGGAAGATTTGTTACAAATCTAAGAATACCATTGGATTATTATTACAATATTAGACGCATTTGTCCTCTAGACCCTTTTTCTTCAGCATGTAGTTCACCTCCTCGGCAGTGGGTGGACCCTGCAGCTTCTGACCGTTCAACATTTCCATCTCCAGCTCCTCAGTAATTTTCCCGGAAGTCACAAAAGCCTCAGACACCCGACAGTTTTGTCCACCTGTGAGATAATCCAGTATTTATTAAATAATTGTTTAGAATAAAATTCCTTAAAACCTTCTAGTGTCGTAACTGAATCTAAATGCAAACAGTCAAAAAAGTAAAGTTACAAGCTAAGGCATGATACTCACCTTTAACAAAAAGTAACGAAGTAAAAATCTATATACAAAATTTGGCTAATAACATTTTCCGTCTGTTAAATTTCAATTGAAATTTTGGTTTCGTAGCCTTTTTGATTGAGGTGAGTATCAGGCACAAGGTGAGAGTGTTGCTTGCAATAAATGCTTTTTTAAGGGTCGAAGACTTATTGAGAAGTAATTTTTGTAATAATGTCCAATATTTTTAAATACGCGTCAAACGACCTTAAAACTGTTATTTTAAATAGAATAAATTTTAATAAGCCGATGAAAAATAAGTTAACCAAAAAGAAGACTTACCTGATAAAAAAATGATAAGATATTCTGACCGAAACAAGTGATACACTAACCGAAAAGTATTGTTATTCTCTTCAAACTTTAATACTTTGATCTTTCATAAGTCAATTGGTTGGTGGGAAAAGTAAGAAAATGAGAAAAACGCTATTGTCGACTGCTTTGACAATCAGATATTCGTTACTGTTTCAATTTTCAAAAACAAAATACAAATGCATTTCTGTTAGCGCGGCACACACCACATATGCAACAGACTGTGGCAACCTAATATGGCAGCAGCGCCAACAGAAGCTTGCCAGCTGACTTAAAAGAATGGTGTGGCAACACTCGGGGGATTTATCAGCGAGCGACACACGTGTCTTGATAATAAGAATTTGCGCACTGAATGAACAGACGCCAATACGATTTGCGAAAAATAAAAGGTAGGCGGCTAAATTTCGACGAAGAAAGCGATCGCTCGATTTTCCATTCATCATGCCGGATTAAAATCCTGATTTAACTGCTCAAGTCCGAGATCTGCAGCAGCAACTCAAGGCACTTCGGACAAGTGCACCTGGCAACCGGGATGAGACTACTCGCACACACACACAAGTGCGACTGTCCACTTGTTAAAATTCGCACATAGCAACCCTCAACTATGGTTTGCGCAAGTGGAGCGGTCATTTCGATTGCACCAGATTATCGACGACACCGACAAGCTCGACCTTGTCACCCTTCACCTGGAGTAGGATGTAGTTTTGGTAGTGACTTAGTCATTCGACCACCCAACGAAAACAAGTACGTAGCAATTAAAAATCGCTTACTACAAAAATTTGGGGAGTCTCCAGAGTCGAAACTACGCCGACTACTGCAGGGGCGAGGTACATCTGGTTTAAAACCATCTGAGGTCCTGGCCAACATGCGACGACTAGCTCCGGACCCGGGCAGCGAGAACATCATTCTCACTCTTTTCCTGGCAGAGATGCCGGCGTCAATTCGTCCTACTCTTACAGTCTGGGGAGAGACGGATTTGGATAAGCTCGCTAAGATTGCAGACAAGATGCTCGAAGCGGTAAGCCACAACGCCACTTTTGCGACCAGCACGAACACCACGACTGCATCGGGCCCATCTGTTTGGGCAACTTCCACCGAAGGCCCCTGGAAAAAGATCAACGTCTCCAATTCCAAGGACGCTCACGCAGTTCATCGCGTGGCCACGTACAAACTGGAAATTCGAATCAACAGGCATCTGGGCCTCAAGAGAAGCTTTGCTTCTACCACGACCGATTTGGAGATAACGCTCAAAAGAGCCGCCCACCATGCTCCCACTCCTCGTCGTTCAACTAAAGGAGCTGTCGCCCGACACGCTGGTCGGCGGCAGCACGAATATAACCAGCGAGCCCACAGTTTAGCCAGCTGTTCCACAGGAGCAGCGCCTACACGTCACCGATCGCACATCTCACATCCGCTTCCTCGTTGATTCTGGATCTGTGGTTTCCGTCATACCACGAACGATGGTTAGACAAAAAACTACTATGAGCGATTGGACACTGTACGCAGCGAACCAGACAGTCACTCAGCTGAACTTGGATCTTCGCCGAAACTTTACATGGCCGTTCATTATCGCTGACGTGCACACAGCTACAGCAGACTTTTTGAGCAAATTCCAATTGCCCATTGATCTTAAAAACCAACGCTTGATCGACTCGATTACTGGACTATCAACACCAGCATGTCTTGCACAAGCGAAACACATATCAATTTCCACAGTGCAGTGTATGTCCAAATTTCAAAAACTTCTAAGTTCTTCTTCTACGCAACACGACGTCCGTCACCACGACGCCTCTCCGGTGAAAAGC